CCCCCACTCACCCCCATCCCCCTCACCTCTCTCCCCACCCTCTCACCACCCCCTCACTACCCCCTTATCCTCACCCTTCTCCCCCTTCACCTCACTCCCTCACCACTCTTATCCCCCTCACCTCTCTCTTCCTCACCTCTCTCACCTCTCCCCAGGCGACCATTAGTGAAGATATTTACCTATACTGTATCAATACTCTACACACTAAGGCAGGGATTACCACACCTTAGTAATTTAATACGTATTTAAGAGGGATTTATTGTGATTTAAGAGGGATTTATTGTGATTTAAGTGATTTTTTGGTGATTTGGGGATTTATTGGGTAATTGAGACAGACAGACAGTACAAAGATAGAGTGAGTAGTAGAGGGAAACAGAGATAAGAGAAATAAGAGAGAGATAGAGAGAGAGAGAGAGGATAGACAGAGAGAGAAAGAGAGATAGAGAGAGAGAAAAGAAGAGAGAGAGATAGAGAGAGAGAGAGAAAGAGAGATAGAGAGATAAAGAGATAGAGAGAGAGAAAGAAAGAGATAGAGAGAGAGAGAGAGAGAGAGAGAGAGAGAGAGAGAGAGAGAGAGAGAGAAAATAAAGAAAGAAATATCTCTATTAACACCTCTGAAATATATCTCTCCTTCTCAAAGCTAAAATCCACTCACTGAGAGACGATATATTTCAACAGGTGTTTTATAGAACCTAACACCTCATAGTGATACGGGAAACAGGTATTAGTGATATATTTAGCCCTTTTAAATAGTTATATAACCTATATTATTGATCTGTAATTTGTATAGAATTTCTTGTCTGTCTGTCTGCCTGCTGTCTTTCTGTCTGTCTGTTCTGTCTGTCTGTCTGTCTGTCTGTCTGTCTGTCTGTCTGTCTGTCTGTCTGTCTGCCTATCTGTCTGTCTTGTCTGTCTGTCTGTCTGTCTGTCTGTCTGTCTGTTTGTCTAGTTTAATTGTTATACTTCCATTTTATTTTTCTCATTAACACTAATTTATTTTTTCTATTTAATTACTGAATATAATTTAAATTAATTACAAATGGCGTCTCATATTTAATCTCTTTTAACTTAATTTTATTTTGAGTTAATTGGATTAATTTAATCAATTTAATTAACCAAATTTACCTGATTCAGTCATGTCAGGTGATTCTTAGGTGGTTCAGGTGGACACACACATATACACACAAATGGGGTGTAGGTAAGGTTGGAGTAGGGGAGGGAAGATAGTTAGGGGGGTAAAGGGTTGATGACGTCGACAGAGAGGGAATCTAATCACTTGTGGAGTTTAATCATCCCGATAATGACTTGGTACAGAATCCCGTACCATGAAAGGCATCCTGCATCCAGGCTTACCAACGTTACCGCTTCGTACCACATAAAACTAAAACAAACGTAATAATTCTTTATAAAACTACTAAATACTCTTAAAAATATACATAAAATTTAGGAATAATATTAGTTTATATTATTTTAGTTATTATTGTAGTTAATAAATGAGTTAAACTGGTTAATTGAGGGTTTGTTTTGGTTGTGTTAGGTTGGTAGTCCTGGGATGGGGAGGACTTGGCCAGACTGCCCACAAAGGCTCTGGAGTGAGATGTCTTCAGCCATTCATTCATGCTTAAATTGATTTTCTGATGGGACGCCACCACCACCACCTCTACCACCACCACCACACAGGGAGTTAAACCTATCATCTGTACCTGTTTGTTGGAGGAGTGAGTCTTTCCTTGATTTGTCGGGGAGTTAGTGAGAGAGAGAGAGAGAGAGAGAGAGAGAGAGAGAGAGAGGAGAGAGAGGAGAGAGAGAGACAGACAGACAGATATTGAGAGGCAGAGACAGACATAGACAAACAGACAAACATTGAGAGAGAGAGAGAGAGAGAGAGAGAGAGGAGAGATATGACAGACCTTAAAAGAAACAGAGAGAGAGAGAGAGAGAGACAGACCTTGACATAAATAGACAGACAGACATACAGACATACAAACAGACAGACATACAGACAGATTATAATTTCCTTCCCTAACAAAATAGATGAAGATTTAATTTTTGAGAACGAATCCTTACCAACTCACAATTTATAGATGGCTTCCATATTACCTGAGACTCTAGATTAACCTATATATTTTACCCTCATATTTACGTCTATCTCCAAGTATACAGAGAGATAAACACCACCTCATAAGTCTCCCGGTATCTCTAAATCCCTCTCACAATTCAATTCCTTCTTGGATGATTCGTTTCGACTCTAAGATTCCATTTGGGGCTTCGGAACCCTTTTAGAGACATGCTAGTTGAGATGCTGGATCCTTTATGAGAGAAGATCGAGTCCTGAATGCCTAAAAGGATCGGATCGTCTTTTAAAGAGTATTCAAATCCTTTTAAGTGTGATTGAGGATAAGGCTATGGTTTTTATCTCTAGTCTTAGATCATTTTTGCCGCCATTTTAACTGTTGTCTAAGGGAATCAAATCTTTAAAGTACACCAGGTAGGTTAAATATAGTCTCTACGTAATTCTGACGCCATATTTAACTATCGACTAAATAAATCAAGGCTTTTAAAACACACCAACTATAGTCACAGTCTAATACCGTCGCCATTTTACACCTCGTCTCCTTTGGTGATAGCTTAAATAAATCACGTCTCCATTATCCTATCGAGTCACTGAGAAATTGAACCCATAGTCCATACTTCAAAGGCGTTAAATTTTGCCTTAAAACGCCCCCACCGCCTCCTGTCCCATGCCCTCCTGTCCTACTGCCCCTCTCCCACCCCCCCACACCACCCTCTACATGACATAAAATTGACGCCGCGACTCTTATGTTGATTGGATACGTTAGGATACGTTAGGATACGTTAGGGATACGTTAGGATACGTTAGTAAATGTTAGGAGGAGATTATGGAGGTGTGTTATTTTGGTGATGTGGATTGTGAGTTGCAAATTGAGTTTGTTGGGAGGTATATATTTGCTCCTCTCTCTCTCTCTCTCTCTATTTCTCTCTCCACGTCTTTCCTTCTTTCGTTCCTTCCTTCTCTGTCTCCTTCCTTCCTTCCTTTTCTTCTTTCTCCACCCCACTCTCCTTTCTCCATCCTATTCCCTCCTCCCTCCCCATCTTCCCTCCCTCTTTCTCCCTCCCCATTTTCCCCTCCCTCCTTTCCTCTTGAGTGACACTCCATCAATGGCAGAGGGGAGGAGGGGGGGGAGGGGGAGGGAGGGGGGAAAGGATTGGGTAGATGAGTAGGGGAAGGATAGGGTATAAGGGGAGGGACAGGGAGAGGGAGAGGGAAGAGGAGAGGGAAGAGGGAGGGAGAGGGGAGAGGGAGAGGGAGGGAAGAGGTACACGATTCCTACCTATATCTGTAGACGACACAGTAATTGTATCCTGTTTGATGCTACGTCAATCTCACTGCCACCTGGGAGAGTGTGGGAGAGTGTGGGAGAGTGGGAGAGTGTGGGAGAGAGTGGGAGAGGGAGGGTGGGAGAGGGGAGGTGTGGGAGAGGGGGAGGGTGTGGGGAGGTGGGAGAGGTGGGAGAGTGTGGGAGAGTGTGGGAGGGTGTGGGAGGTGGGAGAGCAGGGAGGGTGTGGGAGGTGGTAGGGTAGGGTAGGAGTAGGTAGGACTGTCAGGCGTCAGCTGGGAATTCCAAACGTCAGCTGATGGGAATAGGAATGTCAGACATCAGCTGGGAATAGGAATGTCAGACGTCAGTTGGGAATGACACAAACAGCTGATTTTCAGTGAGCGTCAGTATATTGTCAGGTAATTCTGGTCAGGAAATGATTCAGGCTACGACTGGGTTGATCTAGAGAGAGAGAGAGAGAGAGAGAGAGAGAGAGAGAGAGAGATGACACTTCCCACACACTAACTCTCACCACTTGAGTCAATACAACTAGAGAGTCTGAGATATGATTGACTTATGAATATGAAGGCGGAGGGGAGGGGGAGGGCGGTGTGTGGGAGGAGGTGTGTGTGGGGGGAGGTGTGTGGGGGAGATGTGTGTGTGGGGGGTAGGTGTGTGTGTGGGGAGGTGTGTGGGGGGAGGTGTGTCGGGGGAGGTGTGTGTGGGGGAGGTGTGTGTGTGTGGGGAGGAGGTGTGTGTGTGTGGGAGGAGGGGGTGTGTGTGGGGGGTGCTGTGTATATAGGAGGGAAGGGGGGAGGGCCACTAACGTTCACTAATGGCCACCAAACATTCACTAATGGCCACCAAACATTCACTAATGACCCTAAGTTAGTGGTCTCATGGCCTAAGCATCAAGGTAGGGTCCACCAACACTCTCGTAATAAATGACTTTAACCCAGAATAGTGATGTTGATAAAGTGTTAAAAATTATGTTAATGTGGTGGAATGTTGAGCATTTTTACACCACTGAATGTTGGCGTGAATGTTTTGGATGAATGTTTCTGGGCTGGTGTGGACGATTGGGTGAATGTTTGTGTGTTTGGTGTGAATGATTTATCTCTCTCTTGTCACACACACACACACACACACACACACACACACACACACACACACACACACACAAACACAAACACTTTCTCTAACAGAAATTAAACTTTGTGCTCATCTATAGTAATTTCTGGAGCTAAAATAATCTCACCATTATCACTGTGTTTTTTTTTTTACCTCCTGTGTTTTATTCTCGTGTTTTTATTCTCTTCTTTTATTCTATCTCTTTGTTTTTTATTGTATTATTATATTTATCTTTTGTTTCATTTTGTTTTTCTGTTTTTGTGTTTATTTTACTCTCTCTTCAATGCTTAGCCTTCTACCACCATTCCTAGCCTTCCCAGCTCTTTCATCCCCGCACCACTATTCCCAGCACCTCCTAGCAGACCACTAACACCCTTCATCTCATCTCCAGCACTTCCTAGCAGACCACAAACACACCCCCTTCATCTCATCTCCCAGCACCTCCTAGCAGACCACTAACACACCCCTTCATCTCATCTCCCAGCACCTCCTAGCAGACCACTAACACCCCTTCATCTCGTCTCCCAGCAGGTGCAGAAGGGGCTGGGAGGTCTACACAAGGGCCCACGTTCTCCCAGGAGCCGCCTCACCATCTTGACTTCACCAACACCAGCGGGGCGTCTGTTAACTGTGTGGCCGAAGGAGTGCCTGAGCCTACCGTGTCCTGGACCTATCAGGATGGTAGGCCTCTTGATCAGGTGAGTGGATGTATGTCTGTGTGTGGATGTATGTCTGTGTGTGGATGTATGTCTGTGTGTGGATGTATGTCTGTGTGGATGTATGTCTGTGTGTGGATGTATGTCTGTCTGTGGATGTATGTCTGTCTGTGGATGGTGTGTGGATGTATGTCTGTGTGTGGATGTATGTCTGTGTGTGGATGTATGTCTGTGTGTGGATGTATGTCTGTCTGTGGATGTATGTCTGTCTGTGGATGTATGTCTGTGTGTGGATGTATGTCTGTGTGTGGATGTATGTCTGTGTGTGTGGATGTATGTCTGTCTGTGGATGTATGTCTGTCTGTGGATGTATGTCTGTGTGTGGATGTATGTCTGTGTGTGGATGTATGTCTGTGTGTGTGGATGTATGTCTGTGTGTGGGATGTATGTCTGTGTGGATGTATGTCTGTCTGTGGATGTATGTCTGTGTGTGGATGTATGTCTGTCTGTGGATGTATGTCTGTGTGTGATGTATGTCTGTGTGTGGATGTATGTCTGTGTGTGGATGTATGTCTGTGTGTGGATGTATGTCTGTCTGTGGATGTATGTCTGTCTGTGGGATGTATGTCTGTGTGTGGATGTATGTCTGTGTGTGGATGTATGTCTGTGTGTGGATGTATGTCTGTGTGTGGATGTATGTCTGTCTGTGGATGTATGTCTGTCTGTGGATGTATGTCTGTGTGTGGATGTATGTCTGTGTGTGGATGTATGTCTGTGTGTGGATGTATGTCTGTGTGTGGATGTATGTCTGTCTGTGGATGTATGTCTGTCTGTGGATGTATGTCTGTGTGTGATGTATGTCTGTGTGTGGATGTATGTCTGTGTGTGGATGTATGTCTGTGTGTGGATGTATGTCTGTCTGTGATGTATGTCTGTCTGTGGATGTATGTCTGTGTGTGGATGTATGTCTGTGTGTGGATGTATGTCTGTCTGTGGATGTATGGTCTGTGTGTGGATGTATGTCTGTGTGTGTGGATGTATGTCTGTGTGTGGATGTATGTCTGTGTGTGGATGTATGTCTGTGTGTGATGTATGTCTGTGTGTGATGTATGTCTGTGTGTGGATGTATGTCTGTCTGTGGATGTATGTCTGTGTGTGGATGTATGTCTGTTGTGGATGTTGTGTGTGTGATGTATGTCTGTGTGTGGATGTATGTCTGTGTGTGTGGATGTATGTCTGTGTGTGGATGTATGTTGTGTGTGGATGCATGTCTGTGTGTGGATGTATGTCTGTGTGTGGATGTATGTCTGTGTGTGTGTGTCTGTTGTGTGTATGTCTGTGTGTGGATGTATGTCTGTGTGGATGTATGTCTGTGTGTGGATGTATGTCTGTGTGTGGATGTATGCTGTGTGTGGATGTATGTCTGTGTGTGATGTATGTCTGTGTGTGGATGTATGTCTGTGTGTGGATGTATGTCTGTCTGTGGATGTATGTCTGTGTGTGGATGTATGTCTGTGTGTGGATGTATGTCTGTGTGTGATGTATGTCTGTGTGTGGATGTATGTCTGTGTGTATGTATGGTGTAGGGTCTTTTTTCGCCAGTTTGTCTGTCTCTCAAAATATGAATTTTTATAATCTCTCTCTCTCTCTCTCTCTCTCTCTCTTTTTTTTTTTTTTCTCTCTCACACACACACACACACACAACACTTGCCCCCCCCCTCATAACACCTGTCCTAATTACCTTCACCTGATATATTAACTTCTTCATCTTACTAATTACATAATAACCAATAACATTACGTCACCCTTAACTACCATCCGGGGAGGAGCGGGGATATGGTGGGGGGTGAGAGATAATGAGCCAATCACCTTGTTAGCTTTGTGGATCAGTAACCAATTAGGTGTTTTGTTGTGAGGTAATTTTTGGTAATGGTGGATTGGTGGTGGGTTCGTGGTGGTGGGTTGGTGGTGGTGGGGTGTGTGTGGGTGGTGGGGTGTGTGTGTGGGTGGTGGGGTGTGTGTGGGTGGTGGGGTGGTTAGTTGATGGGGTGAAAAGCTGATCATTTCATTTCTCCTCCTCCTCCTCCTCCTCCTCCTCCTATTCTTCCTCCTCTTCCTCTTCTTCCTCACGCTTTTCTTCTTGTTCTTCCTCCTCCTCTCCTTCTCTTCCCCTCCTCCTCTTCCTATTCTTCTCCTTCTTCCTCCTCCTCCTCCTCCTCCTCCTCCTCCTCCTCCTCCTCCTCCTCTTCCTCTTCTTCCTCCTTCCTCCTCCTCCTCCTTCGCCTCCTCCTCCTCTTCTTCCTTCTCCTCATGCAAGCTCACGAGGAGGTATACAAACAATGTACCTAGACAGTGTAGGTATACAAACAATGTACCTAGACAGTGTAGGTATACAAACAATGTACCTAGACAGTGTAGGTATACAAACAATGTACCTAGACAGTGTAGGTATACAAACAATATGCCTAGACAGTGTAGGTATACAAACAATGTACCTAGACAGTGTAGGTATACAAACAATGTGCCTAGACAGTGTAGGTATACAAACAATGTACCTAGACAGTGTGGGTATACAAACAATGTACCTAGACAGTGTAGGTATACAAACAATGTACCTAGACAGTGTAGGTATACAAACAATGTACCTAGACAGTGTAGGTATACAAACATTGATACACAACAATTTAATTTAGCTCTACGTTCGTTTTAATATGTCGAAAACAGAGTCAGTGATTGATTGAGGCAGAAATTAGTCGGTGAAATTCATATATTAAACATTTGACTCACTCTTCTCTAAAACATTATTATTTTAGTTGTTTTAATCAAAATTTGTTTTATTTGGTGCTCTCTCTCTCTCTCTCTCTTCTTTTCTCTCTTTATCTCTCTCTCTTTAATATTTTTTGTAGTTTTTATGGTTTAAATTAACAATAAATGGCGATTATTTAATTACATATCAAATAATTAAACCATAGAGCTATATTAGACATACAATATCAATTTTAACTGGGATTATAATTTAGTTGAAGTCACTAAAATACACGAGTTATCCTTTCCGTTTTCTATGAGATAATTCCGTTTTCTAATTGTTTGTTTTGATGGTGGACGAAATGATGTTTTGTTGGTATGGTGCTTTTTAAACGGCCAATGAGGTCAGATTACTATATTTGGTGTGTGGCGACGTCTTGTGGCTTCCTGTCGCTGATTGGCTGATGTCCTTCTCGTTAAATTGGCGTGGTGAGGTGTGGAGGCAAGATAACAAGGTGTGTGTGTGTGTGTGTGTGTGTGTGTATATGTATGTGT